ATGGTAACGACATACTTGAATAAAAACGGAATCAACCACTAGCTTCTTGGTAACCTTGTGACTTTCCCTGATCCAAGTGTGAGTCCTGTGCTTCCAGTAGTATAGGTCTCTACTACTATTCACACCTACTCATATTCGTCCCAAGTATTGTCTCGCAGTCCCCAAGTCCTAAAATCACAAAACAATTTAACACATACGAATGTGTCCAATTAATCATAAAATTTTCCTAGGCTCTACCAGGACTTCTTCCATGCGTATCTTCAATCATCAATTCTATTTCAACTCGGTTGGTGATGGAAATTCCAGATTATGGGACAACTTCAAGAATTACACCAATCGTTCCATCATCCTGCCAATCGAAGGTGTACTTCAGACGTACCGTACTCCTTTAAACGTATTGTTATTTTATCAGACATAAATTAAAGGCAAGATACCACCTTCGACATCTTCCGATAGGTGTCACTCAATACATCAGATAACAAAACCAAGGTTTATATTAATTCTTGAAACTATTACACAAAAGTTCAAGTTCACCCTATACTATGCCTTTAATAGGCTACACCACAAGTTACTATGACTACTTCATATATGCTAAAGTTCCCATCCTTGATTTCTCGTGTTGCCACCCTCTTTGTCAAGGATTTTCTGAGATGCTTTTTGGTTTTGGAGGTGCATTCGCTCTTACTGCTTCATTTTTCTTCGGGCAGTCCCTAGCCAAATGCCCTTCTTCTCGGCATTCATAACACACCCTCTTGCTGGATACGCACTTGTAAGCGTAATGCCCTATCTTTCCATATTTGTAGCAAGTCACCTCTTCGTCGCATCTCTCATAATGCTTCAGTGGTACATTTGGCTTAGTAGCTTCTTCCCTCTTTGGGCAGTCCTGCTTGAAGTGCCCTTCCTCATTACATTCGTAACATACCTTTTCGTTGAATGGACATTCGTCGGCGTAATAACCAAGCTTTCCACACTTAAAACATGTCACCTCCTCGCCACTTTTTCTAGAGTTTTTCTTTTTGCATTTCCCGCACCATTTTTCTTTACCTCCTCTTTTTCTAGACTTCAAGAACATGTTGCTCTAGTCAGACTTTGAAGACCCCTCAAATTTCCTCTTCTTGCCAACTTCCACCTTGTTGGCGATACTACCGTTGATCACTTCTTCGACTGACTTAGCAACCCCGATAGTTATCTCAAGGGTAGGTGTCTGGCGTACTGGCACAGTAAGTCCGTCCTTACTTTGTTGAAGTAAACGCCTTGTTTCTTCCATCTGTTGATCCAACATCATTCGCACCATTGCGTATACTCCCACCGTCGTGATTGGATCAGGTGCAGCTGTTAGCTCTAGTGCACTCCCAATCACTTGTGGCTCAGACTGCGGGTTGTCGTTTCCCAATCCATTTTGCGTGCTTGCCATTTCGATCTATACACCAAATTAGGTGAATTTAGATCTCTATTTCGATAGACGTTCAAATCATCCTTATCACTCCGAAACGTTTACATGCTAGTTCTAATATCGTAGTCGTACGCTTAGAATCTTAAACACATAAGGTTTCCAGATCCGGTCGGCAACAGACCATAGATCCGAACAAACAATATCATATATGGAAAACATATAGCATTTAGCACATAAAAGCATTTTAGGCATCTTTCCTAAAATATACTAGTGCTCGTGTCTAAAATATGGTAGACACTCATCTCACAATCATCGCTTAGCATTCTAAGTTTAAGTCTAGAAATCCTACAATTTCCTAGTTCGCTTAAAATAATGTTCTGATACCAACTATGACATCCCCAATTTCACGGCCAGAAAAGACCGGCTTAATTTATGCTTTTTAAAATAAAATCAGAGTGATCCTTTGATTAAAAGACACTTGATTTGGTTAAAAATTGAATGAGTTACATGTAGATTAGGAGTTGTAGTTAAGTTTAGACTATAAAAACACTTGATTTGGTTAAAAGTTGAATGAGTTACAAGCCCCGCAAAGAAGGGTGTCAAATTAGAATTTTTTTTTATGTTTCAGCAATTAAATGTAATCTGACTTTGATGTTCAAATGTGCATAACTCACTCAATTTAACTTGTTTTGACCTGAATCTTTTTCCTACATGTAGATTAGGATTTGTAGTTAAGTTTAGACTATAAAAACATTTGATTTGGTTAGATATTGAATGAGTTACAAGCCCCGCAAGGAAGGGTGTCAAATCAGAATTTTTTTATGTTACAGCAATTAAACATAATCTGACTTTGTTGTTCAAATGTGCATAACTCACTCAATTTAAGTTTTTTTGACCTGAATTATTTTCCTACATGTAGTTTAGGTTTTGTAGTTAAGTTTAGACTATAAAAACGTTTGATTTGGTTAAAAATTGAATGAGTTACAAGCCTCGCAAGGAAGCGTGTCAAATCATACCGGTTCCAAAACCGAAAACCAGCAAAAACCGGACCCGGAACCGGAACCGGTAGAACTGCCGGGCCGGTTCGGTTCTAGTGTTTGGCCGAAGCCGGTTCCCGGTTCGGGTCCGGGTCGGGCCGGTTCGGTCCGTTTGCTCATGCCTACAATTACCCATCCCCATTATCTTCTTTATTTCTTAAGGTCTTACCCTAAGAATCCATTATCCTTCATTCATTCGTTCCTAAGGATTGACCTAAGGAATTGGCACAAAGCCCATTGCTGCCCGAGGTTCATCTACACAGGACTAAATCCATAGCTACCAAGGTTCATCTATACTGTACTAAATCCATAGCTACCATCGTATTATTATAAGGCACTAAATCTATAGCTGCCAGGGTTTTTAGAGTACACCGGTGAACATCAAGTCCACAACACCTACAAGTTGCGAGCTTGCTAGTGTTCCACAGGACTGTCTAGAATAGTCTGTGGTTGTCATCCCTACTCTGCTGAATGACGGGACCATCGTTTGGGTAAAGGTTTCACTCATTTTTCACCTGTCACCCTCATCTCATGATCTATATCATCTTTCGTCTCATCCTCAAACTCTTTCTCTCGGGATCTTCGGGGCTTCAGGACTCGCTTCGAGTATCAGGGATGGTACTGGGGCTTCGGGGGCACTTTAAGAGGGCTAGAGAGGGTATCGGAAGAGAGGGAGTAAGAAAATAGCAACCAAAACCGGCTGCCCTTCGATTTCTATTTATAGGGCCATTTTTCTGGATTCACGTCGTAAATCTCAAATATTCACGTCGTGAGTTCAGTAGTCATCAGGTGCGTCATCGCAACTTGCGTCTGTCAGGCTCCAGAATTCAGAAATACTGAGTTCACGTCGTGAACACTGTATTCACGTCGTGAACTCTGACATAGTGTCGGGGTTCGCGCCCCGAACTTCAGAAATTCATATCTTTCGCATACGAGCTCCGTTTTCGACGTTTTTTATATCCATGCGTAGGTGAGATTATGCTCTACAACTATTGTTTAGACTCCGATGGCTAATTTTGACTTTAACTTTTATTATATTATTTTTAGTAGGCCGGGACAGGAAAACTCCGTTAGGAATTCATAACTCCTTCATCTGACGTCCGTTTTCGTCTGTCTTTTTACCTTTTCTCTCTATTTCTCTTTATCACTCTTTAATTTTTAATTAATTAAAAAAATATTGTATATTAAATAATTCAAAAATATGATGGATATAGTGACATGGAGTGGTGAATATTTTATAGCGATATGGTTTAAGCATGGTGATGATATGACGCTGAAATGAAAACATTTTTGATGTGATGGGGTGATAAGTACACAGACCTTGCAAAAATGTTCGATAAAATTTATCTCTAATAAAGATACGCGTTCTTTCACTTATCTAGCCATGTCCTTTCAAAATTGTCTAGTAGTCCTTATATTTTAGAAAATTACAGAACCCTACAAAATTATATAATTGTCCTTATAATAAGAATTGTAAAGAAAGCGAACGTTTAGTGAACCATTCATAAACGTTCGGCAGAAAGCTTGTTTATGTTCGCTATTTAACAAAATGAACAAACGTTAACAAGATTTTTCATTTATGTTCAGTATTTATAAAACCGGTAAGAATGAAAGTGAAGGTTCTAAAAGTGGTTTACGTTTATAACTTCTAGGCTTAGTAAAAAATTTAAAAGTTGTACAATTAACTACCATGAACATGTACAAAGTATTAAATGATTAAATTTTACGATTATTAATTTGAATGTTCATATTTATTCATATTTGTTTGTTTAAGTTAAAAACACATTATTGAATGTAAAAAAACAACACGGACAAGATGATATGTTAAATACAAGAACATGAACAAAAAATTTAGTTCATATCCATTCGTTTGTTCGGTTAATCTATACAAACAAAGATGAATAAGTCTTTGCTCGTTATTCAATTCGTTTACAGTCGTATCTATATTTGAAAATTTACTCAAATTGTCAGAAATGGACTCTATTTAACAGAAAAATTACAAAAACAGTCCATGTGTAAGACAACGTTACAGAAATTGCTCCTATATAATAGAAATATTATAGAAATTGTCCCAGTAATAATAAAACTACATAAATAGTCCCTATGTAATATATGTAATACTGAAAGTCCATGTGTAAGACAAAATTACATAATTATATGGAATGAAAGTCTATGTGTAAAGACAAAATTACATAATTGTATCGATGTAACATGGAAATTATAAAAATAGTCCATTTGTAAGAGCGTTACAAAAATAGTATTGAAAATATAGACATAATAAACTCATAAGGTTGGTGGGTGTGGTGTCACACTTGTTATGATCCACGTAGACGTCACGTCACACTTGTCACACTTTAGCCAAAATTTGTCATTTGCGAGGCGCGGATTGCCACACTTGCCATGCTACCTTTTTTTTAATATACAAAATAAAGATTTCAAACACAGCATTTTTTTAAAAACTAAAAATTCAGTAAACTTAAAATAAAAACAATAGAAATTCAAAGATACAACAAACATACCCCAAAAAAATTAGAATTTAAAATAAAAAACATAGAAACTAATTACCAAAATTAGATAGACCTAAAGAACATCTTTATCGGAAAATTGACCTTCCAAATCGTCGACCGGTTCCACTTAAGATTGATGTGGTTGCCGTTCCAAATATGTTCCGTCAAGTCCCTACGAAGAACATGATGCGTCTCAACATCATGAACTATTGCCCTCCTCGACATGTACTTCGCGCTTCCAACCTCAAAAGCTTGTGTCGGTGGAATGATCTCGTTTTCGTTATACTCGCATATTGCATTTTCTTCGTCTTCAAGAATCATATTATGCAATATGATGCAAGTGTACATCACCTCACTCATTTTCTTCTCCTCCATATAAGGCGCGGGATATTTAAGAATATGTCAACGTTTTTTCAAAGCTCCAAATGTTCGTTCAACATCCTTTCTCGCCTTCTCTTGAGCTCTCATAAACTTCAACCTTTTGCAATCATTTGGACAAGACAATGACTTCACAAAACAAGCACGCTCCGGATAGATCTCATCCACAAGATAATACTCGTTCCTATACGATGTTCCAGCTACTTGAAAGGATGAGGCGGGTGCAGTCTCATTATACATGTCGTCAAGTAACGGAGACATGTTAAGAACATTAATGTCATTGAAGGAGCTAGCTGAGCCAAAAAATGCATGTCATATCCACATATCTTATGAGGCCACCGCTTCAAGTATAACGGTTGGATAACCATGATTGTATCGGGTGTATTGCCCTTTATGGGCATTTGGACAACAACCCCATGCCCAGTGGAGGCAATCTAGGCTTCCCAACATTCCAGGAAAGCTGTGTACATTTGAGTGATGAGCATACAATTGTTGGATGTCACTACAAGTAGGTTTGTGCAGATATCGTGGACCATATAATCTCATGGCATACTTGCAAAATTTGTGAATGCTAGTTCATGCAGTACGTCCGGACATCCTAAGATTCTCCTCTAGTGCATCGGGGCAAGTGGCATACGCTAATTGACGAAGTGCAGCGGTGCATTTTTGTATAGGAGTAAAACCAATTGTACCTCTAGCATCTCGACATTGTTGAAAAAATGGATACGATGTCGTGATGTCGTTGACGATACGCAAAAACAGAGTTTTATGCATACGAAACCGACGACGAAAATAATATCATTTAAACGTGGTGTCATCCACAAAGTAATCTTGCATGAGTTGTTCATTAGCTACCTCACGAAATCTTAGTATGTATCTTCTCTTCCTCCGACGTGTATTCTCCACATTTTCTTATTGTAGTTGATCAATCATCTGTTCCGTCTCCTGAATGACCTATATGGTCGTTTCAAGCAAGACATCAAACATGCCCGGTGAAGATGACGAAGATGGCATTTTGAAAGAGTGTATATTACTTGTAAATTGATTTTGATGAGTTAAAATGGTTAAGGGTTGTAATATTTATAGGAGATTTAAAAAATAATAATAATAATAATAATAATAAATTAAATGGAAGTAGCCCTTGCCAGCCACCCCATTGGTCCACTCAACATAATCAAACTCGGAATTTACTCACCGAGATACCGAGCCGAGCTCGGCAAGCAAGGAGTCGGCCCGGTGTGCGCCGAACTCACTGAGCTCCTCGCCGAGCCCATACCGTCCAGCCTAAAGGTATGGACTTTATAGAGGGACCACCCTAGTCTAAAGGAAAAGATGTGATTTTGATTGTAGCTCATAGGCCTATCCCAAGCTTTTTCTATCTTCACAGTATCTTTAAATTCCATAAATTTGTCAAAAGTCAACTCTAGTAAATACATCGGTACCTTATCATCTATGATCTGATGGCAAACAAGTTTTTTGAACACGAGTTTGGACTAGAAGGAGAGTTTTGTACGTTAGCATAATAGTGTTTTTAAAAAATATTTACAAAATCATTGTTCTTTGCAAATGAATTACCAAAATATGGTAAATTACCTTTTTAATACGTTTCGATATTTTAAATTAAGTAATATTTGGAATTAGTTACATTGAATAGACCCATTATTATTTGTACAAAAATATGAAATAAAAACAAATAACTTTATCATTAAATTCTTTAAAAAAAACTGTCCTCTAAATCCTAATAAAAAATATATCAAATCGATGCTCTGAAGGATATGTTTTTCACTTTTTCCTAAGTTTTAGTTTACACAGTTTACTTCTTTTACAAAAACTATCATTCGAATTTTAGTTTTAATAACATTTACAAACAACATAATTAACAGGCAAAAATTAACATAAATATGATTTCTTTCTTCCGATTTTAATTTTGGATTTGATGGTTTATCATGATCAGTAACTTAACATAAGATGAATTTAGTTTCAGGGTTAAAGGAATAAATAAAAATCAAGAAACAAATTAAATCAGGTAATGGGATAAAAGTTTATTTAATTGAAATGAAAAGAAACATTTTCTCTCCAATTTAATTTTTTATTATTATTTTTTTTATTTAGGAACAATCTCCACTTCTCAAGCTTTGTAACAGCTTCAAGTACCCAACCTCTTCTGGTTTAATGAACCTACACATATGTTTCACAATTTAATACAATAATAATACGTAATATACTTTGCAAATTGGTTTGATATAATTTGTAAATGCTTTAGTATTATTATATCAAACCAAATTATTTGTTTTAAAGAAAGAAAAAAAAAACACCAAAATTCATACCCATGTCTAAAAAGGAAATCAATGATGACAAGATTACAATTTGCTTTGAAGAAATTCGTATTTCTGATGACGTCAGCAACAAGTATTACAGGGAGTAGTTTAAAGCTTCCAACTTCTCCATCTGTTATTCACACACATAACCATTTCTATAAATCACTATTTCTTTTTTAACTTAAATAGAGAAAGTCAGTTTTCTCAAATATTTTTAGATATCATTTATACACATAGTAATTATTTAATAAATAAATAAAATAATAAAAACTTACCCTGATTGTTGGGAACGAAAGTTTCCGGAAGCTTTAGATCATAACAAAATAAAACATCTCTCTTGAATCTAGAACCTTCAATGTCCATGTAGGAGACTACACCAACTGGTATAGCTCTGATTGAAAATCCACATTTTTTTTAATACAAGAAATAGCAATTTATTTATTTTTTTATTTTAGCATATCATACTTTAAAAATCTACCCAATTATAGCAATGTAATTGGAAAAAATTTCAAAGTATAATGCTATAAATATAATAGACAAATAAATGAAAGTAAAAGTATGTTGCTATTTCTTGCATTTTGCTCTAATTTACCTGCTAGAAATGGAACTTGGGATTCCTGCTTCTTCCTCACATTCCTTTACAAGATTATCTCCAGGTGAGATTCCATGGGGCTGCATTTATCAGATTAAAACTCATTTACACATGATACAAGAATAAACATGAGTTATTAATTATTAGATTAAAAATAAGAAAGAAAAAAAAATAAAAAATTCTACCATTCCTCCAGCAACAAGATGGTCAAGCATTCCTGGATAGGTTTGTTTCATTTCACTTCTTTTCCCAATCCACATGTATTTTTCTCCATCTTTTTCAACATATCCACACATGTGAACTCCATAAGCCTACAATAAGAAATTACAAGATTATGTGAGATGCTTAATTAGTAATTACAATGTGTAAGATTTTGGTAATTTGAAAGATTTTAAGGAAGATATGAGATATGACATACATTTATCCCAAAGTAAGGTGCTGCTGCACGTTCCAGTGAGAAATAAATTTGTTCTCCATAAGATGAAGTAACAGGATATAGCTGTAAATTGCAATCACTTAAAATTATAATATAAGATGAAAGAAGTATGATGGAAACCAAAAGCATAGATTCTAGTCATGAAAAAGTACCTCATTTCGTATACCTGGAATTACTTCTTCACCTAAGCACTTGACTACATTTCCAAGGGCTTCAGTTCTATGCTCAGGTGTTTTCAATGCAGATTGTAATGTGACATGGCCAGATTGACTACTACCATATGAATCACCTTTGATGTAAGTGAAAACGTCCTTGAACTTGCTTAAATGGTCAAGAAAACTGCACAAAATTCAAATACCTGATGCTAAATTAGCTTGATGATTGATGAATATCATCAATTTAAAGTGCTCACAAGAACAAAGGAACAATAGATCTGATTATGCACCTTAATGCGAGAGACATTACCCGTTATGAACATAGCCAACAATTTGGTCCTCGATGACAAAGGGAATGAAATCAGAACGCATTTCCTGCAATCACTTGATATGTATTAATGCCTATAAGTATTAATCGATTACTATATCCACATATGCTAAAATCAAAATTTCCTTTGAACTACGATGAATACAAGAGAAAGAATTTTTACGGAATGATTAAAAAACACTGAAAACACATTTGCGATTGATAAATATAAGAAATTATGCTTAACGAAGAGTTTACCCAGCCTCGGTTACATGATTTTATCTTCTGAAAGAATCCACTGAGATCTGATGAAACATTCCGCCGTTGAGATATTTGAAAGACATCATCCCAAGTGAAACTGATATCATTGCTAGTAGAACTACTAATATTTCTCGTTGAACTACTTGATGATACAGCGGCAGCAACAGAATTTCGATTAAGGATGAAAGAGAGAGGTCTGACTGTGGATATGCTTCGAATCATAATAGGAAAATTACAGCGGTGATAACATGATGAAGATGGTGAAGAAAAGTTGCTAACACCGTGAGAAGTAAGATTATCGTGGTGGTGGTGATGGCCGCCGGCGATGGTGCAGGAGGCAACGGACATATTTTTTCAACTACTCGACGGGAAAGCTGTAGACTGTAATTGCGAATGAAAGGATTTACTTCCCCGGTTTTTGTCATTATATTATATTTACCATAAGGTCCCTCAAATTTTGATATTTATCAAAAGGGGCTATATCAGGTCTATTAAATTCATAGGCCCATAAAGAAAAAAGTATTTAATATTAATATGTTTAAGGGTCAAAATCATTAAATAATAATCAAAAATTAAATTTTGTTCTATTTTGTATTTGAAATTTCTTTTAAGATACAAGTCATTAAAATGCAAATTTTATCTTAATTTTTATGAACTTTTTTATTTTTTTCAATGCTTATGAAACTTATAATGTCATTTACTTCTTACCTATTTAATAGGTTACTTAATTTTTTATTTTTTTGCAAACGTTGATTTTTCATAGTGTCCATGTGTAACATCTACAAATACTTCAAGAGAGACATGGGGTATTTTTATTTTTTCTTTCAATAATGTCATTAGCTTTTCAAGTCCTTGTTTTCTCTATTTGTATTAATATTAATTTATTTATCAAACTATCATCAAGATGACCTGGTGATGATCATTTAGGATTAAATACTTCAAAAATTGGAGTTGTTTCATATTCGAAATCTATAAACTTCAACCATGAGACGATCTTCTGTTCCAAAAGAAATTATTTACTAAACTATTTAACCTAACTTCTTATCTACAAAAGGATGGATCTTAATGGCTTAATTTTTCTAGCCCCAAAATTTCCTATCACATCTTTATATAATAGTGTCATCGTCTTGATAAGCTCTTATTGTTGATGTTTTTGTTCTTTTCTAAAAGGTCAATGAGTTCACATGGAATGTTCTTAATAGTGTTTTAAAGTGGAAACAAAGTACTAACTTTCCTATAATGATATTTAAGTGAGAGAAAATATTTTGAAAGGGGTGATGTATATAATATATAGACATGTGGTTTTGTTCATGGCTTTTGTTGGTGGAAGGGATAGACAAGAAGATAAAGTGGAAAGATGTCTGGATAAAATTGTTACTATTTGGGTTATTGCAAGTTCAATAATTCGACAATGTTATGATGTTATCCATTAATTGACTTGTATAATGGTGTATTATTTCATAATGGAATAAAATTTCATAATAATACAATCAAACTAAAACTTGTTTATTATTGAACAATTTTTTTAAATATGTTGTCAAGTTATTGGTACATATCAATAAAAGTATTAGGATGTGGTAAGTTGAATTCGGTAAGGCTGATATGGAACCTACTTGGCATGGAAAACACTGCACGTTGACTCTCTTCTCCTTTCTTACTTATTTGCCACTCTCTCTTTACACCATTCTTTTGTAATGGCTAAGCTCTGTGGCAAAATTGAGGTGGAAGTGACAAAAGTAGCATCACTTTCTTCATTTTTATCCATGTCACTACTAAAATAGATAAAATCACTTGATTAAAAAATAAAACAAAATAAAAATCAAGTGATTAAACTTCTTTAAAGAATAACAAGTCTATTTTGACATTTTTCTTGTATCTTTTTCTCTATTGCTTACCAATAGAAGCAAATAACATACTTATATGGATTTATCGTATGAAGATAGTGCTTATGTGGTTGCGTGAGGCGTAACCAGTATACAACAAAGCCTTAGGAATATTCCATGCATTAGTATAACATGTTTGTATTACATTTTATTACATATTGTACATTTATTACATGTGTATCACTATGTTTTTTGGGGAATTCATAGACTTGATATATTCTATGTGTTTTTGGTTTTCTAATATATTCAGGAACCAGATATTGGCATAGAATTTTCATAGCACAAGGATAACTAAGGAGAACGGATGCGGATGCCCAAAGAGTGATCTAGGACAAGTTGATGGCTAAGGTATGTCGACATTCTACATCAGTGGTCAATCATGTCCATTCTCCGTTTTGAGATCTATTTTTACCCCATATTTGTTTTACATACACCACTTCATGGTTTCAACTGTTAGCCTAATAATATTTTGGGCTTTATTTTGTATTGAGTTTTATGTTGGCCCATTAGCTAAAAAATTCATAATTAGCTAGTCTATATATTCTATTTTTTCCTTTCATTGTATCTAGTACTTCTCATTTTGATAATGATATAAAACCCTAGCCGTTCTATGTCTTGTTAGTTTACATGGTATCAGAGCTCGGTTTGATCATCTGTATTTTCGTAATTTTTTGTGTATGGTTTTTTCGCTCGTTTTTGTATTTCGTTTGATTTGATTTGATTTGTTTGTTTCGTCGATTTCGAGGGTTTCGTTTCGTCTGTTGGTTTTGTTGATTTCGAGCTCTTGATTGTTGCTGCTGCTACTCGTATTTATTGTTGGTTTGGTTATTCTCGTTTGACTGGTATTGAAATATGGTCTCGAGAGATGATTCTCTTTAGTCTATCACTATCCAACTCGATGGCAAGAACTATGCCTATTGGAGTTATGTTATGAAAAATTTCGTGCTAGTCAAGACTATGTGAGGGATTGTTACAGGAGACAAGAAGAAACCAACAGACGAGAAGGCTGCTAAGTATGCAACCAAACTGGATTCATGGGAGACCGATAACTACAAGATCAATACTTGGATTAATAATTTTGTTATCCAGTCTATTGGTACTCAGTTGGCGAAGTATGACACAACAAAGGAGGTTTGGGATCACTTGGCTAGGGTGCATACTCAGTCTAACTTTGCAAAGCAGTATCAGTTAGAGTTTGATATTCGAGCCCTCCAACAGAACAATCTCAGTGTTCAGGAATTTTATGCAACTATGTCAGATTTGTGGGATCAGTTGGCTCTTACAGAACTTGATGTGTTGAAGGCCTTTAAGCCTTATATTGATAGAAGAGAAGAACAACGTTTGGTTCAGTTCCTGATGGCATTACATTCAGATTTTGAAGGCTTGTGTGGATCAATTTTGCATGTAACATCTATAATTTTCAGGTATTCTCTTTTGACCATTGGGTTGTGATTTGTTTGCAAGAATAGTCCCCAATGACATTTTTGTAATTTCCGGATGCAGCGTGGTACGTTGGGCGTACACCTTAGTATGCAGGGCGTACCTGGTTCCGTGCTAGTACGCTGAGCGTACGCTAGTATGCAGGGCGTACGTGGCCAGGGTGCAAGGGTTTGGATCCTATTTAAGCACCTTTATAGCCTCATGCACCATATTATCTTCAGCCCCCTTCCTCATTTTGAAACCCTAAAGTGTGCGAGTGCATTGTGAAGCTTGAAGAGCCCTTTTTGGTGTCATTTTGGTGCCTTTGGAGTAGAAGGAAGAACCTTGAGGTTGTGGTGTTTCACTCAGGCCTTGGATCCAACATCTACTTCCCTTGGTGCATCTTTTGGAGGTAAAAAGCTTCAACCTTGATGTATATTTCGTATGGATCTAGTTTTAGCCTAAAATTGTCACTTTTTTTTCCCAAACTTGATTTTTATGAGTATGAGATACTCCAAAATGTTTGAGTTGTCCTTTCAGAGGTTTTAGGGGGTGTTAAGTCATAAAAATGTATTCTTGGTCATTAGTTTCTTTCCATGCAAGAGCTAGTTTGTCTTATAGGGTAAAGAAGCTAAGGTTTTTGGAGCTAAGGTCTTAATAGCCATGCTAAACCATAAAGTTGGAAACTTTATGGTTAAGGACATCTTTTTGAGCCTAAATATGGATTTTGGACGTAAGTGCTTAAGGATTAATGGCTTAAGTTGAGAGCAGCCGTGTACGTTGGGCGTACCAAGGGGTACGATATGCGTACGTGGTCAGCTCCCCGACTCCGGTCAACCATACAATACGTCTCGCGTATGTAAGGAGTACGGCCAACGTACATACCGAGTCAACTCGGTTGACTTTGACCTGGATTTTTACTATGGTTTGACCTATGGGCATTTTAGGTATTTTGGCCTGTATGCTGAGTTTGTGTCACTAAATTTTTTTAAGGTGACTGGTAGAGTTGATCTCGTAGCGGCGTGCTTTTCAGTTTACTCATCTTCCTGTGAGGTGAGTTTTCTCACTGTCTCCATGGGTCGAAGGCACCAATGTCTCCATGGGTCGAAGGCACCAATGTCGCCCCATTTCTTGTTGTGTAGAATGTTAGTTGCCTTTGTGATAGTTTCAGGAAAGACAAGGATCTGGCCCCTGGGAATTACATGAAAGACCAGGATCTGGCCCCTGGAACTTGTATGTAAGACCAGGATTTGACCCTCGGCACTGCACAGAAAGACCATGGTTTGGCCCATGGCAAGAAATGATTATAAGACTATGATTTGACCCATAGCATTCATTTTCTTTTGTGTGGTATGTGGTACTCTAGGGATCTCACTAAGCTTTATGCTTACATTTTATGTTTATGGTTTTAGGTACTTCCAGTTCAAAAGGAAAGGGCCCGGCGTGATGACACAACATCCTCCCCTCAGATTTTCTGCATTTAAAATAATTGTACTCTGATGTTTTGAATATTGTAATTATTGATGGTTTTTGGTACAATCAACGAATGAAATTAATGGTTTTTAAATGAAAATTTTCACCACTATTTTGGGCTGCTACATTGCATCACACACCTCTTCCCACTGTTGATTCAGTTGTTCACGAGTTTATTGCTGAAGAAACTCGTATCAAGTCCCATGCTGAAAAAGGTCCCAAGACAGCCACTCCTGTTGTCTTTGTTGTTCCACAACGACCTCAGTTTTTAAACCAGAATCGTCCCAAAGTTGCATTTGATGAATGTGACGGTTGGATGTGACGGTTGAGGATTTTCACGGGAATCCAGGAGCAACGTGATGATCACTTTTCTTACTTGGCAATTTTTACGGTGCCAGTTAAGTAACCAACACGCTACATAGCCTTTTCTTATTGGGTACCAGTTCAAATTCAAAAATAACACAATTTATAAAAGGAAGATGATGATTTCCTTTTCAATTTTCTGCTCTCTGATTGAACCTCAAGAACCCTAACTATTCATCGATTCTAAAATTCTCTAAAATTCTCTACAATGGCTGCTACTCCTCGCAATGCTGATCCAACAACAACCAATGACGATGAAATTTCGCAACCTAAGA